GAGAGGTAGGAAAAGAAGCAGGAGAATATTTCACAGAAGTCAAGTAAAGAAGTGGTTGCAAGAATAGCAAAAGTGTAGTGCCTACAAATGCATGATCTGCAGTTAGTCGCTCACTAATCCTATGACCCTGGCTGAATTACTTACCTGAATTTCAGACCTTCGGAATTTTGAAACCTATATCCTCAACTGTAAAAGAGGGATAAAAAGAGTACCTCAAACAGTTATTAAAGATTAAGTGAGATAACATATTTTAGAGCCTGGAACAAAACTATTAATACAGTAATAGTTCTAAAACAGAATGGGGAACTTAAAAATGCCTATGAATACCAGCATCCTTTAAAAAACTATTTTCAGTACATGGGGAAAGCTGTGCTTAGAAGACTATAGTGGTTAAGGAAGAAAGCTATAGAGTGAGGATGAACTATTCTTTCTGTAGAGCCGATGGAAAAACAGCTATTTTGTAATCTTCACTTTGTCTTTCCACACCTCCCACCATCATCCCATGCCTGGGATAGTACCTGATCCATATGAAGGATACACCAAATGATTACTGAACATGAGAAAACTTCCAATAGGAAGGAAGAAATGAAGAAGAAAGGGATCTCAGTTCTACAAAGAATCTTAGAGGAAACAGTATTAGGAGCATAAAATTCCTTTCCAAGTTAGCCTTGAAAGGGAACAGAGATGGTTTATTCCCTGACTCAGGGAACCAGAAGGTAAGTATGTATAAAACATAAAGGAGAAGACAGGCGCACCTGGCTGGCTCAGCAGGTAGAGCATGTTGACTCTTGATCTTGAGGTCCTGAGTTCAAGCCCCACATTGGGCACAAAGAGTACTTTAGAAATTAAATAAAGGGGAGGAGTCAAGGGAAATCACATTAGACAGCTTCGACCTTCTTAATAAATATAAGTTCTCTGCAGTGTAGGAGTATTCCAAAGTCAGTTTGAAATCTGAAGAAAACAAATTAGTTGATTACCCCATTTCAATATGTATTGACCTTCATTTCTAACTCCAACATCCTGGTCTAGTTCCCCACCATTTCTTAGATTACAGCAGCAGCTTCCCAGGCTGCTCCTTTTCCTGCTGACTTTTACCTTTCCCAAGGTGTGGTACAGTCTCTTGCGAGCCCATGTTTCCTTTCGTTATGTCTACCACTATTCTCATGAGAAGTTAACCACTCTGAAGCTGCCTCTGATCCTCTACCCACCAAACAATTCATCATTTTCTCCTCTAGGCTACTTCTGGGTCCTTGTACGGTTTGGTCACTTAATTTATCATTCCATATTGCAATCACTTTATTAATATCTGTTCCAATAAATTCCTAAAAAGGGGAATAACATCTTCCTTATCTTCATTCCTACAGCACTTAATTCAGCATTTAGTAAATAATAGACATCCAGTCAATGTATGTTTTGTCTAACTGAAGTCAGCGATTAAACAACATAAGTAACCTGCTCACTAGATAAAAATCAGAAAACAAAAAGTAGTGTTCAAATCTGCATCATTCAGATAACCTTCCTACTTTTCTAAGTATTAAACAGCAACTAAGACGGTCAATTTTTGTATTCTTTCTAAAGGAAAAGAATTGGATAATAAAAAAATATAAAATTCAATACTTTTAAATAAATTCTAACAGTTAGATTTGAATACAGGTTTCTCCATGTCCTGAAAATTCACTTTGAACACAATAATTAAATTACTGTACAGTAAGAAGGACTTACACAGGAAGAATACTCTGTGTCTTTTCAGGTTATTCAGTACCAGAAATGTACTATGAGACTGATTAAAAAACAGGCTATCCTTGCAGTGGAAGTGACTAAGGGAAGCATTTTGATTTCAAAATAGATATTGGCATGCAAAACAGAGAGAGTATTTAAATTATATCAATAGCAAATATGAGAGACTTTCACAAATTAAGTAGAGTAGTTGTTTGAACAAAACTGAAAGCAACAATCAGCAATAAGTTTACTGTGAGATCTACTGCAATGAAGTTCCAAAAGAGATCAAAATTAGTCCACCAACAATTTTTAATTGAAGTACACTATGCATGAACTAACTACCAAAACCAAAGCACGTAGAACTCTCCTGGGCCTCAAGAAGCTTGCAAGGCTAGCCAAATCATTATTACTAAGAAATTTTCTGGAGTCAGAGAAAAATTCTAAGGTTCTATAAAATACTACATTATATCTTAAGTACATATAATACTCTTTGCTTAGACCTAATTTACTGGTAATCTCACCAAATACTTCTTTACAGTTGTTATACTCAAGAACTCTACCTCAGACAGACTATACCCAATTAATAATATGTCTCAAAAAAATGAAAGCCTCAATACAATAATTCCTCATTAACAAGTTTATAATGTTCAAAACAACTCTGAAATATTTTAAATGCGATATAAATAATTTTTATTTCATACTGTGCGAAGACAACTAACGTTTAGTTAACATCACTCACAAAATTATCAGCTCCTGTACTGAGTATTTTAAGCATTAGTTCATTTACTTCTCACATTCTTAATAACCCTTTGAAGTTATCTCTTTGAGATGAAGAAACCAAGAGTTAAGCAAGGTCAAATACCTTGCCCCACATCACCTAACTATTAAGTATCCCAGCTGAGATTACAACCCAGAACTATCTGACTGTACAGTCTGATCTCTTTTCACTATATATTGATGGTTCCTTTAGAAATTACAATGACCATGAACTTTGTGAGATAGCTACACAATGAATTTCTCAAAGGTTACATAAAAACAATTAAAATGAGAGCAAACACTGCCTTTGCATTAAAAACTTGTAGTTTTGGTTACCCCAAACTTTCTCTAAAACGTACTGTAATCCAATCCACAACCAGCTGCCCTTCAGCAGCAACCCAGACTGCCCTACAGTTCTCAAACTATTACTGAAGTGTAATTCCTTGTGAACTTTCTTCGGGTTAGAGCCACAAGACTTCTTTAGATCCACAAACCTTCTTTTAACAATGAGATGTCTGTCAGAATAGCAATTCCTTGAACAATAATAGCTTCCCTATATAATAAATTATTTTTTATTCTCATATAGGCTCTCTTACTTACATATGCCTTTTGCAATCAATTTCAGTTGGCTGTGTATATTCCAAACTAAACTATGTTTTATCAGGGCAAGCAGAAATAGCATTTTTCTGCTTGCTGCATTATCCTAAAAACACCTATGGACAATGGTGTTCACAAAGTGCTCAGAAAATTTAACATTTTAAATAGTAAACATACAGACTTATCTGTGCACTTGAGTAAGTTTGAAGTAAATCAAAGGTATCAATTTGTGTATTTTTTAACAAACCAAAATTCTGATACCAACCACAGAAACTCAACTCAACCTAAAGCACAAATATAACTTATTTCTAGCACCACATCCAAACAAGCTTTTAATGAGAAAATTAAGACAGATCTATCTAATAAGTGCTCTTTTCACCATCTAAACACATATGCCCACACAGAAATTAAATCACCTAATAAAGTACATCTGTTACAGAACTCAAATACTAATTTTGAACCCTGTGGGAATTTTGTTTTTGTTAGGAAATCTACTAGAAAATCTTTTCCCACATACATCTTATATAGATTTTTCACGTGTGTTTTATATAGTCAAGTTTCCAAACTGTTACACAAAAGTCAAAAGCTTTACATCTTCTACACTATCTGCTGAAAAAAGTTCCAATTTCGTGCAGAAACCCTTCTGCCTGTTAACACCAGCACCTCATTCGCCCAAAACAAAGTCCCTGAACTTTCAGAATAAAATATTCTTACAAAAATGTACTCTTGCAGCTAAACAAAAAGTAGCTGTTTAGTTTATAACAGTTTTCTTACACCATGAAATACAAAATACAAATTAGACAATGCACTATGCTTTAAATACCAGAGATGAGTCTCGACAATGAGCCCGCGTCTGACAAATACTTTAGATAAGTCATTACGTCAAGTAGAACATAGGTTAAATTTTTTAAATTTTTAATGAAATGTTTACGACTTTTCTTAACTTCCCGAAGTGTTTTTCAGATCTCAAAAAGGAAACTGATTCTATACAGCTGAACCAGCTTACACTCTATGCTACAGCCGGTGTGAAGTATGACTTCTTCGCAATCAGTAGACCAAATCCTGTTTACCGTGGAAGAAAAAAGAAAAACCTTGTATATAACTATTGTATTTTCAGCGAGATATTGTCGAATAAACTCCAGTACGGTGACTAATAAAAGATTCACTGGCCAGTAGCTGGACTAGATCCTTAAAAACACAACCGCGGGGTTCGCCCAGTTCCGAAGGTGTAAACAAACCGGTCGCCACTGCAGAAGGTAAACAATGAACCTGCAGCGAGGGTGAGGGGGCGGTCTTTGCCAACTACAGTCCCAGCCACCCGGGAAAGGGAAACGGGAATGAACTACAGCGCAAACCAGACACTTAGCCATAGTCACCCATTCCAGGTTTCACTACCGAGTTATCAATGCTGCGGGTCCCCCAGGGTGGTGGGCAAAGAGAAAAGCAGTCACGCAGGCAAGCAAGAACCCAGCAGGTCCGGCTTCTGCTCTGGGGGACGGGGAGGGCAGGATGTGGTCGCTCTTCCCTCAGACATCCTCCGGCAACCTAAATAACAGCCTCTACCTCCCGCCGGCCGCCTCCAGGCGAATGGCTGCACGAGCTCCAGAATGGGAGTTAAACCCTCCCTTGGGGGTCCAGAGAACCCAGAGGGTAGCCGGCTCCGCTGAGTCCCGCTTGGCGTTCCCCGGCACCCGCCGCACCCAGAGGCCGGGAGAAAGGCGCGGGGCGAGGGAAGCGGGCACCGGGAAGGGGGATGGGTCCCGGGAGGCGGCCCGGGGCTTGGCTCCTGCGGGCCAGCAGGCGGGGCTCGGCTCTGCCTCCCGCACCCCCGCCAGTCCCGTGCGGGGCCCGCCCCTGCCCCCGGCCCCCGACCCCCGGCTCCTCCCCAGCAGCGCGCCCTCGCCGGCGCCCGCGGCGCCCCGCGTTACCTCGGGTCAGATCCAGCGGGACGTTCTCCTCGCCGCTGTCATTCCGCCCTGCGCGAAACAGACACACAGCTCCAATTAGGATTCACTCGCAGGCCAGTGGCGGCAACCCTGGCTCGGGCCAGCGCCCCTAATCGCTCCCCCAGCCCAAGGCCAGGGGGAGGCAAGGGCCAGGGGTCGCGGGCCCCAGGCGGTGGGGAGTGAGGGTTGCAGCGGGCTTACCTCGTATTCGGAGGTTCTTCAGCGAGCGGCCGCGGCCGATCGCCGCCATATTGACGGGTTTCAGTCACAACACCGGAAACCTCGCCCAATCGCGCGAGAACCCCTTCCCCTCCCCGCGCGCCGCGCCGCGCCCGCCCCCCGCGGCATCTCCCCCGCCCCTTCGCGGCGGCAGGCGGCGGGTGGTGCAGGCTGTACCCGGGGCGTGGAGGGAACGCGGTGCCGACCCAGGGTGTCCATGGGGTTCGCGCCGTGCGCACCCGTTCGCCCGCCTGGGAGCCCGAGGTCGCGGCTACACGCCTAACCCTCCGAGAGCAAGTCGGTCGGGAGGCGGCATTTCCCACGAGGGGAATCCCATTGATGGGAGTTTGCAGCGTGGAGGATGCTTCCCTTCCAGTGCCGCGGAAACTGTAATCAGAACCGCGGCGAGCCGGGAGGAGGCCGGGATGCGGCCGCACGCCACCTGCGGAAACCATCCTGCCCCTTTCTCCTGCTTGCTTTCAAGCCCTCCCTTCCTTATTTATCAGTTAAAACGATGTTTATTAAAAAAACAAGCTGCGCTTGTAACTCAGATCCCTTCCTAAAGTCGCTTTGCTCCAAGTTAACATGTAACAAAGTTTTGTTTTCCACCCTCGTTCTGACCACCGTGCTAAGCAGCCTTGCACTTGATCTTCAAAACCATACTTGGCCAGGAGAACTTCTCTAAGAGGAAGTGGTCGGGGGGACGTTTCGCTTTTGACCGCCTGGCGCGGGCCGGGAGAACGGAATTAAGAAGCCAGGAGTGCGGGGTGGTCTTCCCGGGCGGTGGGTGAGGTTGTTCCCGCGCACGCGCGGGCGCCGGGAGGCCCGGGGAGAGGGTTTCCTCTGCCTGGAACCAAGCGGAGGCAGCTGAGGGCTGAGTCGGGTTTTCTGTCTGTGTAGCCCTTGGAACACTGGCTAATGTAGATGTTGTGGGTTAATATTTTTTATACATAAACCTAATAATTACTAACTGTAGAGATTGCAATTCTAGAAACTGTTTTTACCTAAATATATATACACCTGGCCTCCGACCCAGCAACTTTCTCTTAAAGTAGACTAAAGAGAGGGTGAGTGTTGTGCCGCCTCCTACTCCTCGACTTGTCTTTTTATTACGTGAGACTGGAAGTTAAACAGTGGAGATTTTGCTTTAACCACCTCTCTTGTCCCAGTTAATGCAGTGTCGAGCATAAATAAATGTTCAATAAATAATCGGATTGATGAGTAAGTGCCTTGGATTCCTTTGTTACAGTGCTCTTTTTTGCTGTTAAAAAAGAAAAGCAAAGCAGTATTGGAGATAGAATTGCCGCTGTTAACAATAGTGAACAATTGGAAACAAAGATGACTAAAGGTAGGGATTATGCAAATTATTACAACCGTTAAAAACGATGTAGGTCTAGTATATTTATAGAAAATTAGGTTCATGATTTTAAATCAAGCAACAGATTACAAAATTCCCTTTTTTATACACGTTTAAAATACATATAAATTAAAATTATACGTTATAAAATATTTTACATATCTGTGTACATAGAAAAAAGTGAGAAGATATACATCAAAATGTTAACTAATTTTTTCCCCCTCAGTTGTGGAATTACACATACGGTTTTTGTTCTTGTTTGCTGTCTATACTCTAAATGTCCTGCAGTTAATATATATCTAGTGTAAAATAAATGAAAGTTATAAAAAGAAAAATAAAAGCAGTATACAGTAGCATCATCAGGAAAATAAAAGAGGAACACTGTTTCCTTAGGAGACTATCCTCTGTCCATATATTCCAGAACCTTTTCTTATTAGGTCTACAATCAGATATCTGTTCCTGATACTGCCCTTGTATTCAGTGATGCAACACAATTGGAGTACTTTTTAAAAATGTCTACTGACAGACATAACCACTAGTAATTTTGATAACAACAAACTTTGCTCTTGCTCTTGTAGCTTTTAGGTCTTGGTGCAAATTTATTTATTCTAGTTACAACCTAAGGCAAAAATCACAAAATTTGAGGTCTGGTTGGGACATTAAAAATTTGCATTTCATTCTTCCATGTATCACATTTCACCATTTTAGAAAAGTAGAAATCTATCAATGGGAATTCTACCAGATTCTTAGAATTGTTCCAATTTTCAACCAACCCTTTTTATCCTGTTTTTTTGTTCCTATTTATTCTAAATTAACTCCTTTCTAATACAATTTAATTTCATCTTCTCTTTCATTCTTTCATGAAATTTGAGTACAACCCGATCCACTTTTTAAATTACTTAAGGTACATGAAAGCCTGAATCTAATAATCTTTCACCTTTGTAACTATACGTTCCTATTTAAAGATCATTATTCAATTATTCCATCTCTTTGAGGAGAAAAAAAAAATCATCTTTCCCCAATCTTACAATGAAACTAGTTTTTCTTCTATTACTATCTCACTTAAGTGGCTGTGTTCTTCATATTTGTTGTTAAGGTGAGTTATACGATTTCTGGTAAAAAGAACAAGTTCTTAGTGTTTGCAATTGACACTCAACTGGCAAGTAGGAGTTTAGGTAAATTTTAGTAAAGAATACATTTCACAAAGTTGTATTTGCTTTTTAAACAATACATTATTGACTCTAGTCAGCTTGTTATTTGTTAGAATCTCTAAGTTATCTTCTATACTTGCCAACAGCTAGCCATTCCTCTTTTTGAAACTTGTTTGTCTTCCTTGTTTATTTTAGCCCACCCCTATGTTTTACTCATTTTGTTTACATCTTACTACTTCTCCAATTTTCCGGGTCATTTTGATTCTAATCTGGTCATTGACAATGTGACTTCCTCTTCTTAGTTTTCATTTCCCAACTAGGTTTCATTTGCTGTGTGAATGAAATGTCTTTTCTCATAGTATGAGTCACTGATAAAAAATGTTGCATGAGATTGGGTCCAGGACCACACCTCTGAGAGATAACTGCTTGATTCTGAAGATAAATGACTACACCGATAATCACTATCTGGGTTCTATTCTCTATCCTATTACACAAAGTTAATAATTCTAGTTTATAAACCAAATTTTATCAGTTTTGGGTACAGAGATAATGTTGAACAGAAACAAAGCCTTGCCAAAATCTTAGTTCCCTTTATCTATCTGCCTGACTACATAGGCCATACGAAGATAAAGCAAGTAAAAAACCACAACACTTGATGGTCTGTTTTTTGGTAATTTCTCTTCAGAGTTAAACCACACATTTAAAATCTAGATAAAGAACATTAAAATGACAGACAATGGACTAAAATCAAACAAATGTTGTAATCTTGCACAGTGTTGATTATGAAGATTCAGCCTTGGTCTTGTTTGCCTCTTAGCATTGTTCCTTTAAATTTTAATCTCTGTCCCAAAATAGCAGGAAGTAGCCTCTTAGTATTGTTCCTTTAAATTTTAATTTCTGTTCCAAAATCTCTTGTAAATTTCATTTTAGAAAAATTCTGTAAGGTATAAAGGCACTCTATAAAAACAGTTTTAAACAGAGTATGAGCCTATGTTTGTGAAAGAAGGATACATATATTCAGAAAATAAAATTTGGAAGGGTATTCACTAAAATTTCAACAGTGATTATCTCTGGTTGGTAGAATTTTGAGTGGTTTTTATCTTTTTCATTTTAACTTTTCTAAAACAAATTTTTACTTATATACTTTTTTTTAACGATTTTATTTATTTATTTGACAGAGAGAGAGAGCACAAACAGGGGGAATGGCAGGCAGAAGCAGAAGGAGAAGCAGGCTCCCCGCAGAGCAGGGGGAGCCTGATGTGGGACTCGATCCCAGGACCCTGGGATCATGACCTGAGCCGAAGGCAGTCACTTAACCAACTGAGCCACCCAGGCACCCACTTATATACTTTTTTTTAAGAAAAATTACTTTAGAGAAATTTTTCTGGCTATTCTAAATCACAGTAATAAATATTTCATTATAATAATGTGCTAAGCAATGGACCTACCAAATTATTTGTGCATCTCATCATTTAAAAAAGAACGTTTGTGCACACACTCCAATACATATGTATTTACTCATTTTTTTTAAGATTTTATTTTTAAAGTAATCTCTACACCCAACATGGGGCTTGAACTTACAACCTTGAGATCAAGTGTCCCATGCTCAACCGACTGAGCCAGCCAGGAGCCCCTACTTTTTTTTTTTTTTTTAATTAAATAAGACAGAAAACATAAGGATAAAATAAAAATGGTTAAAAGTAAATTTTAATGTTACTTTACTAATGACACTAATAACAACAATGGGGCTGAATATACTTTATTATTTTTAAAATTTCTTGTTAAATACATTGATAGCGCAATTCAAAAGTCCAAGTCTAAGAAGAGTTTATTTGGATGTTGGGTTTTAGTAGCTGAAATCTCACAATATACCAAGTTTTTTTTTTAAATGGGAGAACTACTCTACTGGCTGAGGTTTCTAAACCATAACACTTGTTTTTGAACTCCACAATCAATTATACAAAGGTTTTTTTATGTAATTCGGCTAATAAATGTCCATCTTTCCTAATGTCAATTCATTTTATAGCAAGCTGGAAGGCATAACATTTAGAAACATTTAGCAAATGATTTAAAAATGGTTTCAAAACTGTTCGCCTGAAAGATTTTAAATAGGTTAAAAAACTGTTTCCGTGGTTTTTAAGTGTGTAGATATAAAAATTTATATAAGTGATGCATTTATATTTTCAGTTTTTTCAGGAAAAAAAAATCACAAAACTGTAGAAACATTTCCAAATACTTATTTTCTAAATGCTCCCTCCTAGCACAAATTTCTTTTGAAAAGTAGTAAGATGTGGGGTGTCCGGGTGGCTCAGTCGGATAAGCATCTGCATTTGGCCCAGGTCTTGATCCCAGGGTCCTAGGATCAAGCCCCATGTCGGGGCTCACTGCTCAATGGAGATCCTGCTTCTCCCTCTCCCTCTGCTCCTCACCCTGGCTCATTCTCTCTCTCTCTCTCAAATAAATAAAATCTTTAAACAAAACAAAACAAAAGCAGTAAGATTCTTAGTTATTGTTACCACATTTACTGCGAAGGGAAAGATTAGAT